TAATCAACCACCTATTTATGTTCCAAATCAGATATCAACTTTAGCTTCTCTCTAGTTATTCTTCAGTACTGCAAAATCACCATGTTTAAAGATGAACTGATCTAGCACCTTAATAAGGATCCAGCCAGGAAACCAAATTCTACAATTGTTTTAGCCGTGTTCTCTGGCGCTGGTATAATTAACTGATATTCTTTGAAGTCTCCAGTGAATTAGATGAACTGATCTAGCAAATTAATAAGGATCAAGTCAGGAAACCAAATTCTAGAATTGTTTTAGCAGTGTTCTCTGGCGCTGGTATTATTAACTGATATTCTTTGAAGTCTCAAGGGTCTAGCAGATATTCAAGCTTCAGTAAATGGAATGACACGCATCAGGTTTTAGGGATTTGAAAGGAAAGATTAGCCAAAGTTTTGCAGTGTTAGCAATGGTGCATTTCGACTAAAAAGAAATGGAAGAGCATTTATGTATCTTTACAAGCCAGAATCTGGCAGTGGTTTTGCTCCTGTGGACTTCTCAAAGAGGAGAACTGGCTCTTTTGTGCATCTATAGATGTCATGGTAAAAGCCTCTACCGTCGCTGATGGTTGGCCTGCCGGTAACCTTGGCCAGAATTTACATCTCATCACAGTGTGGTTTTTGACCAAAATCCAACAATTTTTGCGCTGGTTAATAGTAACACAAAATTGTACAGGACCGTTTCAACAGTTTAAGCTAACAGCCAATATTTCATTGCGATCTGGAAATTGTGGATAAGCACTTAGTGCGAAAAAATAAAAATAAAAATGAAAGAAAGAACTACGGAGTTCAAATCAGAAGCCACATACTTTTTTAATTGTTAATCAGAAAGTACACTGTTGTGCAACTTTAAAGACAGCTTTCTAACAACTTCTTAGTTTAACAGTTTGAAGAATATTCAACATAACCCGGTTAGCATCATAGTAAATTTCTTTAAATGTTTGTTTTTCCTTAACAAAAGATACTTTGAAGAAAATATTCCAAAAAAGGGCTTGAAGATGTCAAATACCTCATATACAATTACAAAATTATCCTTTATCACATCTTCGTTCAACCCTCCAAGATATTCTGTCAGGACATCAGCCACTCTGCACAGGAACTAGAAAGTAAATAGTCAAATGATCAATAAAAGTCATTATTTGCAGAGACAATACAGTTAATAAGCAGAATATAGCCTCCCTACTTTCACTGAATACAATAACTGGAACTAGAGCTTCGCCATATCAATTGAATGTATCAGTTAAAACTTAACTTCCAGGTAAGGACTTCCGATATAGCTTTTTTTTAAGTCTTACATTTCTAATCATTTTACCTAAAAACAGAAGCCCACAAAATATGGCGAAGGCATGGAAGAAAAAACTTATCAAAAGAAGAATTCAGAAAATAAGATAATCTCTGATGCCAAAATTTTGTCTAACACATAGGGCATGGCAAATTTAGTGACAGCAAACATTAAGCTTGCAGTAAACTCTGATGCAAAAGCATGTGTGACATACATTTAATTAATATTGGTTAAAAACAAGGGAGAGTATGGGCTGCCCCGCTATTCTACTTTCACATAAATACCAAGCTCCAGCCAATGGTAGGGTTCAAGATCGTGATGTGCACTCTATCTAGACATCCAGTGTAGCATCCTTACCATTGGACCAAGGCCCCTTTTTAAGCTCAAATCCCTTCAATATTCTCAGGACAGACTCATCAAACAGAAATTTCAGATGCACATCGACAGTAGTGCAAGTTTCCGGGATATGCTAGGATGTTCAAGTTTCTAATTGATAAGCCATCATGCTATCAGGCACTACACCTATGAATCGGACATATCGTTCTAAACGTATTCCAATCAATTGTTTGACAGTTTGAAAACATTTCTATTAAACCAATCTTGTCTCATAATCTTATTCAAGAAGAGCTGCAATCTAGCAGTAACAACATAATAACCAAGCAAGAGCTGAAATCAACAAGTGCTTTTACCTCGATAGCCATTAAAGGTGGCATTTCCACTTGGGTGCAAGCCAAGAATGTAACACCTTCACGATTAACTTGGAAAAGGTAATGGGTTGGTGAAGCAATTACTGGCAAATGCTGTAACAAGCCAAAAAGACACAACAAAACCTTCAAACTTGAACAAGCAAATTTACAATTTTATGTAAACTCAAAAAGATCAAGCATCTTGATTTTACCAATACCATGAGTTATATAGCAATTTTAACTTTAACATTCGGAATAATAATTACTTTAATGTGCCTACCTTGAAAGAATCACCTTGAGCAATTGACTGATCCCAAAACCAGGAACAAATTGACCTGTCAACCCGGTGGCCGGTCAGCTGTTTTTCTAGCATCACCTCCCTACATTCACAGTGATAAGCAGATCAAACCTCCAGTGATTCGATATCCCAATAAATACAAATTAACTCTTTTTCAAGTCCGATGAATATGAGTTTGATTTCAACGAAATTTATAAAAAGAAAATAATAGAAGAAGGTATACCCAGAATCGGAGAGCAGAAAAATGCATTGCAACATAACTTTCTGAAATGGAGTTGGAACCAATTTGTCCAAGCTGCGCTCTCACTCACACTTTCTCTTCTCAATTCTTTTTCCCCTAATTATTTATTTGTTGTTCTTAATAGGAATAAGGAAAAAGGAAAAACCGCACCTATGGCTTTCTGAATTTACACACACCTCCCCAATTGGAAGTTAAATGATTTTTCTTTATCTCATTTGACATATAACTACGGGGGCGAAATGCCCTCAACTTATCAGATTTGTTTTATAAGTAATTGTTATCGGTAAATTCGATTGGTTCCTTAAATTTAATATTATTCTGAAGTTATAATTTTGAATTACAATGAACAAGCGTAAATGAAATGAATAAACTAAATAAAACAAAAAGAAGGCCAAAAATACCACTAAACTATCACAATTCTTTCGTTAATCTATTAGCTCCCTAAAGTTCAAACCGTTAATTTTAACTTCTTCTTTTTTCTTTTGACTTATTTTTATTCATATTGAATTTTTCTAGTTGAATTTATGGCTTTCGTTGTTCAATGAGAAGGCCAGAAGGGTAAGAGGCTCATGGGCCGGATTGACGCGAACGGATAGGGATGACTATATTTCTTGGAGCAAAATCGCAAATTATGTTTTGAAATGAAAAGACAATTTCAAATCTAAGAGCGGACAACAGTTGTAACATGCAACTCGCGTGAGCTACATACTGATCAATGCTCTGTAAGATATAGGTGGACATCTTATTTTTATAAGCTATTTTTCTCCCTTTTTTTTTTGTCTGAAGTTATTTCTCTTTTTTTATTCATGAAGAACAGAAAAATAATTAGAGGGGTTGCTCAAGAGGCCAATATCCCACCTACAACTTTAAAATTGTGGGTTCGAATCACCAAAGGAGTAATAACACAAAGAGAAATTAAAATGAATCGGAAGGGATAAAAAAACAACAGAAGAATTGTTCCTGTTATCGTTATTTTTACCTTTTTAGGGGTAAAGAAAAAAAATTTATCATCATATATGAAGTTATGTACATTATCACAAAAAAAGTTTTTCACTTTTTTGGTCAATATACAATTGCTTCTAATTATTAATTATGGAGCAGTTGTTTCTAGATTGTTTTCTCCAATTTCATATATTTATGCTCTTGAAATACAAAATTTTATACGTGCATCTGATTTTAATATTTTATTGCAAAAGCAAAAGCTATATCAAATATTAAAGTTGACTTTCTTGATTCAATTTTGGCACTACGAAAAATAGCTTGCTGAAATTAAATGAGCATTTGTGAGCAATATTCTTTTTAGATGTTCATTTTGTACTAATTAAATATATGAAAAATAGAAATAAGAGCGGACAAATAGTAGTTGTATACGATCAAAATCGAGTTCGTCTGCGACATGGTACATCATGCTCAAAATGTGGCAATAAAGGATTGAAAATCGATCCCAAGTCCCACCGGGTTAGAACCTGGGGACAGAACGCCTGCCTTCGAAGAATATCGAGACCGTGATCCCGGAATCGGCCCTAGCCTCGAACGAGTTCGAAGAAACATTGTTAGCATAGCCAACAAAAGGCCGAAATATCCGTGATCGGTCGGATATTACGACGGGAATCATAGCACGTATCGATAAGGGATCGTCAATCAGTAAATCAAGAGATTTATTTACTGTTTATAGAATTGTACCTACAGTAGGATTCCTCTACTATATAAAGGGGGTCTGATAATTCATAAGATACATTGTAACACGCACTCAAAAGCAATACATTATTATTTTTCTCTTTAAGCTCTTATTCATCTGTATCTTAAGACCGATCGAAGTACATCCGGTTCGAGGGTGACTGGTCTTCCAAGACTGAAATTGTCCAATTCGTGTGGTTTGAATTTACTTTATCGTTATTTATTTTAACTGTAATTTAATTTATCACTTTGTATCAAGTTAATCCGCATATCCTTAAAATCACTTACAAATTCAATTGTTATTTGATTTTGAGAGTAAACAGCAGTAATGATTCAGGATTTAAACGAGTGTTGAGTTCTTTTCTTTATACGCGTGTCTATTATATATCTTCTCTCACGTAGAGTTCGAGCTCAACAACTACTTAACTATAATATAAAGTTTGTTGAACTTGATGGAGCTGCATCTAGCCTAGATTAATCACCAATTAAGGACAAAGAACTAATACACACTGGAACTAAGTAGAAATATACATAACTACAAAACCTTAGTTTTATATATATACTCCTATATAGTATACAGTTTGAAAGCAAATGGTATATTTCGGCCGCGTGTCGATGCATAGTACGAGAAATACACGTAGCGTAGTACGACACTAAAATGGCATCGCAGTCTGAGACGTGGCTGTCTACAATCCCCATTGCTAACTCTTAACGTTATCGGTTTCATGTCTTTTGGTCGGTGATACTATTTGCCGTATAACAGTAGCCCACTTTTCATGCAACAACACTAATATACATGCATGTATATATGTTGCCATAACTCAAGTGAAAATTCTCATATTCAAAATACTTCAAAGGCTTCTTCTTGAATATTCTTCTCTACTAGTAATAATTAAAAATTTATTGAAAAATGGCTCCTGAAGTACTTGTGAGTGGTACAAAAAAACGGAGCTGTGCTTATGTGACTTTCTTGGCTGGTAAAGGTGACTACGTGAAAGGGGTGGTGGGTTTGGCAAAGGGGTTGATAAAAGCTAAGTCTTTGTATCCGTTGGTGGTGGCGATTTTGCCGGATGTGCCGGAGGAACACCGGTTACTACTAAGAAGCCATGGTTGCATAGTGAGGGAGATTGAGCCACTTTCTCCTTCATTGCAATCATCGGATAATAAGTATGCTAGATCTTATTACGTTCTCAACTACTCCAAACTTCGTATTTGGCAGGTAATTAAACTCTGAGACCACATGCAAGAGTTGATAAAGTTCCTGTTGTTGCTTTCCTTTCCTTTTTCTTTTAAATGATCATCTTTTAGGAGGTGTGGACTGTGGAGGGAACAGAAACTCTAGCTTTTTTTAATGTTTTTTTAAGTAGTAAAAAAATGTTTCTTTAACTGTTATGTAACTCGTTTTGGATGTCCCAGAACTTGCTCGAGTTCAAGTTCATAAAATGCTTTCAGCAATGGTAAGTTAACTAAGAATATATTACTTCCTCTGCTTCGATCAAATTAACTCTCCTAATTAATATTATGTAGTTCTAATATTTTGTTTAGGTAATTAGTTAACTATAAAATAGAGTCATCTTTAATTACATTTTAACGAACCTGACTATGTTAAAATTTCTTGTTTCATGAATTCTTGTTACTTTGCTATTACAGTTTGTGGAGTTCAGTAAGATGGTATACTTGGACGGGGACATGCAAGTTTTTGAGAACATAGACCATCTTTTCAACTTACCTGACAACCATTTCTATGCCGTCGCCGATTGCATATGTGAGATGTATGGGCAGTCATGTCCCGAGGTTCTACCTTGGCCCAAAGATTTGGGCTCAAGGCCACCTATCTACTTCAACGCAGGCATGTTTGTCTTTCAGCCCAATCTCTCCATCTATGCTGATCTCTTGAACACTCTCAAAGTTACCCCTCCCACCCAATTTGCCGAGCAGGTATTGCATATATAAGTAATTGAACCCCAAAATAATATATACCTGTGGCTGTATATATTATACAAGGTAGTGTATGCAGGCAGTTAGGTATATATTACTATAATTTAACTCATACTGCTAAGTGCTATCTATTTATTTAAAAATATTATAGCAGGTGCCTTGGCTAATTTGATCATTTTACTATGGATGGCTAATGCCATCTTTAGGTGATTTGATTTTTTTTTTTCCTACTATATGACATAGACTCATCGATTTTAAGAATAATGTTTTGTCTTCTCAAACGTCCCATATTAATGTACTTCAGACCATCAATAGAATTGCTATGCTTTCTATGATGATTTGCTATTAATGTATTTTTTATTACTTTTTTTTTTGTAGGATTTTCTGAACATGTTCTTCAAAGACAAGTATAAGCCAATTTCTTATGTATACAATTTGTTGTTAGCAATGCTATGGCGTCATCCGGAGAAAATCGAGCTCAGCAAAGCGAAAGCAGTTCATTATTGTTCTCCAGGGGCTAAGCCGTGGAAATACACTGGAAAAGAAGAAAATATGGATCGGGAAGACATAAAAATGCTAGTCAAGAAATGGTGGGATATTTATAATGACCAGACATTGGATCATAAGCAGAGTTCTATTCATATTGCTGGAGTTGAGGGCGAAGTTGAAGCAAACAGAGTAATGGCAGCAGCTTTTTCTGATGCAAACATCAGTACCTTATATGTAACTAGCCCATCTGCTGCTTAGCAATGGCAGTGCTCTGGAGATGAAGCTTCAAGTGATCAATTAGATCTTTATGTTACATTGGACAGTCTACAGGGATACTGCCACTTGTTTATTTCTCAGCAGGTTTTGTTTTGGTGCCCAATAAACTAAGGCTTTTTGTACGTTTGCAACTTATCTACGTGTCCTTAAATGTTTGTAGTAATTACGAAGTCTATCAATAGAAGTTAGAACAGCAAACATTATATTTGAGTCAACGTATGAAAGTGGGTTAAAAGTATTCTGATGTACAGATTGGATGCCGTCAGATTGGACACCCTGCCTATCTTCTCGACAAGGTGGAATGATGAAATATTGGTTTTGCATCAAGAAAACATCTAGTGCTAATCCATTTTCGCTATCATTTACACGGTCCAAAGTTATTAAAGAAATCATTCTCTTCGAGCTTTTGAAATGAGATAATGGCAGATCGGCAGCACCGAGTTACTATATCATTTATAGATAACGGAAGCTGAAACAACGCCTCTTGATATTGATAGCAATGGGGCAGGATCGAAGGTTCAAAAAAAAAAATACGCGAGAACCATAAGAGCAGATAAAATAGTTCAGGCATTAGGGTAAGACAAAGTCGCGAACCTGCAGCAGGGCTGGAAAGTCTTCAGTCATTTAGCTTCTCATGCAACAATCATAGCACTTACTGCTGTCGCTTATCCTTATGTTCAACGTCATTTTGACTTTTTAAGGCAACACATGCTGCCTGCCACATCTGTCCCATTACCATTTCTATGAGAGATCAGGCAGGGCGTGTAACTCAACAACACTAAAGGGCATCAGCCATGACAACCTTGCATAACAAATCCTATATGGGCTTGCTGTTCTCAAAATGTATATTACAAGGCCATTATCCCGAAACAACAAAGAAACACACATTCCATGTTCCAATGGAACCCGTCCGCAAAATTTTGCGGATTATAGATCAACCAATATTTTGCGGCATATGAGCTTGAGAAGCTCATCTCCCAAATAAGGCAACCCGATCTTTCTGAACTGCCTGTGACAAATTTATGTCGAAGAGCTCACACCGTATTGGCATTTCCATTTCATAGAAAGGATTCTTCAAGACGTAATCAGTGTATAATTCGTAGATATACTTCAACAGAGATTCCATATGCAGACTTCCAGGTTCACAAACCACAAAAAATTTCGTTCCTGCAATTAAATCAGTCCAATTCTTTAATGGGTTGGAGTATCACATAAATTGACACAGTGATTTAAGGGGGAAAAAAGATATAAGATTGAATATCATCAAGTTAAATGTTCCATGGAACTCTTAACTCAGGCACTAGTTTGGCTGAAGCACAAAAACATCGGAACTAGTCTGCTAAATATTTACTAAAGTGGCTTCCCATTCATTATTGATTAGTATTTCACCTTTTCCGTTGCAGTATCATTTTCTGTCTCTTTCTAGTTCACTACCATTTCATGACTGAACTACACAAGCAAACATCTTCCATCTTTGTTCTTTTTGATAGGTGCAAACAGCTTCATCTTTCCCAAATATGTTTTCCTGTTTTCAAATATTTCACTTCATTTCAACTTACTATCATCTAAAGGACAAACTTATTCCTGTGAAGTTTACAGATAAATCCCAGAAGAGAATGTCATCTACCCAACATTAGACAGTAGATATCTTGAAGAACCACAAAATCTTCCAGTTCTTTCTGAGTATAGTGCATTTTTAGGATATTTTCTTATGGTTCACGTTTTGGTAGATTTAGGCAACACAGGAAGGAGGAGTTCATAAATATATAATCTCATTCTTTTTCTTGATCTGTCCAAAAAGGGTGTTGGTATATTTATGCTGCAAAGATTGAAGAGTGTAGTATAATGCACTTCAAATAAATCAACAGCCAACCACTAGTTGAACGTTGTAGTTATATTTCTAAGACTATCAGTTCACTAGCCTTGAACTTATACACCCCAAGCTAAAGAACAATAGACACCTATCTTTGAAAAATAACACTAATGTATTCATCAAGTGTTAGGTAGACCCCAGTAGTCATCTTTCTTAGCCTATTAGCCCTTACATGTAAGGTTTTCTAGCCTGTTAGCCTTAAAGCAGACAACTTCAACAAAGATATGGAAAGTGAAACCGCAACACGTGCAAGTCACAACTCATCATAAAATAGATCAAGCAGCTTGATCAACCCTAATTAGTCAACACATTGTTTTTTATTACAGAAAGAATACTACTTCGTATTAGCCTATAACAAATCAAAAAGAGAAGAATATTATTAGCCTGTATTTTCTCTACCCTTTCACCTTGTGTTGCGCATTGGACTTGTGTATGTAGAAGGAACTTTTGAACAGATTCAGCATATCTCTTGACAAGCAGGACCAAGATAGAAACAAAGAGTTATTTTTCTTTAACAAAGCCCCACATAGAACAGAAATGATTAGCCAAGTTAAATTCTCAAATATCCATAAGAGTATATAGATTTCAAGAATAATACCGTACAAACACTGGTATACATATGAATTGGCAATCATATTGATAAAATTAAGTTCATCATTAACTCAAACTAGAATGCAAGTCCTTCTGACCAAGTTAACATGTAAATATTCAAGGATCACCATATTAGTAGTCTTTTGAGTTTCTTCTGTCCAAAGTAAATGAGAAAATTTGCAGGTGCAACAACTTATATGATGTTTCCGGTAGATACCTGGGGTGCTGTGCAACAAGATCCTGTGCATCCGTATTCACTTCACTAAGTCCTTATGATGCTTTACCTAGCTTAGTTTTGTCTATCATTTAATCTTAAATGTATTGAGTTGCCACACTGGTGCATAAAATCTCAAAAAGCTGTTATGAGATGCTGATTGATTGCACTAGGACTGCTGGCGCACCTTTTTCTTGGCTTTAGAGGTAAAGAAACTAAGATTACACATCAGTGACAAGACGATCTAAGCCCTCCATACCCTGTCTGACAGAGAGGATTAGGTTCTAATTGCTTTTCATCCTCTAGTATCTTAGATAATACTTTTAGCTTTTCTGAATTGTGAAGTTGGAAAATCTTTTGGTTCCATGAGTTAAATTTTTTGATAACGGAAATTAAGTGAATAAAACAAATAAAATGGAGAAGAGATGCATGAGCCACTTAAAGGTTCTGCACCATATTCACTGACATAGAACTCGATATCAACGCTTCAGCAGGAAATCATTTTTCATTAAGTTACCCTTTCCCCCTTTCCAGCATATGGAGAAAATTCATAAAAAATTTGGGCCAACGATTATGATTTCAGTCTGTTAACTTTGTTGCTCCTAAGTAAGCTTTACTTCCTTTCTAGCTTATAGCTGCACATTATAACTACACATTTCCTTCACAAAAAGGATAAATTGTGCAACCTATAACCCAATATATATGATGGAAAGGATCTCAAAAGCTAAAGCTGATAAAAATCACAAAAAGTAAAAATGCTTCTGAAAATAAATCAAATAAAGCCAAAAATGGTGGAGATGTAAGAATTACCAGTAAGAGATTGGAAGCAATGGAGGTCAAAGTTATCAGCTTGAAGGAGTTCGATACCGGCGCAACCATTAACTGGGGACAACTGCTGAGAGATAGCGTGCATAGAATGCCAAAGACTAGCCAATCTCAAACTATCATTTGTGTCCATTCTTCCAGCAGAACCATAATCCTAACGTTTTTTAGACACTCATTAAAACAAATTAGGATAAACAAAAACAAGCTAAGCTGAAAAGTTCGAGAAATTGAATTTCACCTTGTAGAAAATAAGCCCTCCTGATTTATTGATGATATAAAGGCTGTAAATAGCTGCCATTTAGATTAAACCCCTTCTCTTTATTGGCCTCTCCGGCGAATTGATCTGAATGGATTAACTTAATAAGCTCAGTTAATTGAAAGTCTCAAGCTATTTCTTCCAGAGAACAGTCAAGTTTGCAATTGACACAAATTTCCCAAAAGAACCAAAAAGAAAGAAAGAAATCTTGATCTCAGTGGATTTAGTAAACAAATTTAGCAAGTGAAGATTTACAGGCAATTATTTCTGGAAACAATCATAACAATATTGCATTTGATACAAATAGCACCCGGAAAAAAAAAACCCAACAATAACAAGAAAGAACACACACACACACACACACAAAGAAAAAGGAATTGGTCCTGATGTATAATTTTATAGAGTTGATCTCTAAGTGTGATTCAGTTCACAAGATAGAGTTTGGGCTATTGAGTAATGGAGGGTAAAACAAAATAGTGGGATTGAGTTGAACCCTAGTTAGGGATGAGGGTCGAAATGAGACACAGTGTACCTGAAAAGATGGGTTCGGTGATCGATGTGAGAGCTCCTCCTGATCAGCGACGAATCGGGTTGAAATAGGGGAAGTCGGAAAAGAAGATAGTAAAATACTTTTGTAGAGAAGTACTAAGAATAGGATACAGTACGTATTTTGAAGCAAAAACAAAAAGAATGCGGTGAACGTGGATCGAACACGTGACCTTCAGATCTTCAGTCTGACGCTCTCCCAACTGAGCTATCCCCGCTTGTTAACTGGTTCCGCTCTTCAAATAATTTATAAATCCCATCAGAATTAATCTCCATGTTGTTGCCTTGAATGCGAGGTCCTAAAACGAGCTAAACTGAAAATTGTGGGCAAAAACGTAGAGGAAGGGAATTAAAGAGGAAAAATTAAAGGAATTTTATTTAGTGTGTTTGTGAACTAGGGAGTAGGGAGAAAAGAAAGATCGTCTTTTCAACTCAAGATGATAAGAGAACAATTTTTACTCCTTAATTCTTTTATCTTCTCGTGTAAATGAGATAAAGACCATAAGTATTCAATTACTACTACTTGTTCTATTTCAGTAATATTCCTATTTCTATTTAATTAATTTCAAAAAGAATTTTTCTTTTCAATATTTTAAAATAATTTAATTTAAAGTTCTCATTTTATCATTATGATAATTTTATGTTACACTTTTAATAATACAAGTTTAATTTTTTTTTATAATCATAAGAATATTATGTCATGTAAGTTCACAAATTTAAATTATGCAACCAGTGAAGCAAGTTCACGTAAACTAATGTTTATTTTGAAACAACTAAAAATACAGAAGTCAAAGTTTACTTTTGGAATAGTAGGAGGATCAAATTTGCTAGTATAACTCTTTTTTCGATTAATTTAACTTGACGGTGGGCGGTTGGAGGTAGTTGAAGAAGCAATGTATGGGAAGGAAGTGAAGAACGTGTCCATGGCTGAATCTTGAGTATCCTCACATACTCACATTCCTTCTGTCTTTTTCTATTATAAAGTATTAAACTAAACTCACAAAAGCACAATTACTACTCTACTTCTCTATTGCTTTTCACCAAACACTTGATAGACATGGCTGTGAAAGAAGACAGGAAGCCATCAGTGGAGATCAACAAGCTCAAATTCACCTACCCTGGTATCGATGGTCACCCGCCTCCCGGATCTACGCCCTTAATCGAAGATTTCTCACTTACCCTCTATCCTGGTGATCGCTGCCTTCTTGTTGGATCCAATGGCGCAGGTTCTATTCTATTGCTCTTCTTGACATTGAATTACAATTGCCCTCTTTAATATAATTAAGAAATCAAAAGGGTTGCTTTAGAATTTTTATTTTTTTGCTGCTTTGAACGTCCAATTTCGAAATTTAGGGTGCATTTGGTATAGATGAAAATGTTCTGTATTTTTGGTGGAAAATGTTTTAGTTGGAAATCATTTGCTGGATCATGTTTCAGCTGTTTGAGATATAAAATTTGGAGTCACAACCCACAGGGTAATTGTACAATGTACAAGATAAGCTATGAGGATAGTGTTTTGACATACTTTTTAGTATTAAAGGTTTACAACAATGTTCAAATGTTTATTGAAGTAAGCATATGGAGTAAGATGTGTGATATTTGTAAATGGAAATGACTTCCACCTTTTGGTAGAAAATATAGAAAACATAGCTAACCAAACACAGAATAGGCATTTTTCGCCCTACCAGTAGACCTGAGAGACATCTCGTGTTGGGTAAATGGATGTACTTTTTGTAGGAAAGACTACAATTCTGAAGATATTGGGAGGAAAGCACATGGTAGAACCAGACATGGTCAGAGTGCTTGGAAGATCTGCATTTCATGACACTGCTTTAACCTCTTCTGGAGACCTCAGTTATCTTGGCGGAGAGGTATCTTTTCTCTTTCTCTATTCATCGACCATCTTTTTATGGGTTATTATGTTTTTAGGACTGTTTGCTTCTCTATTTTGTTAAATGCATGTATTGGAATTGGGCAGTTCTCATCTTCTGTCCAATTCAATATTCAAGCATAACCAAGTTTTTTTCTGTTATGTTTACCAAGAGTATGGCGTCAACTATGCTGGAGATTTATTTGGAATCAGTTGTAAAATTCTCTTTAACATGGTTTCTCTCATTTATTTGTTGGTAGTTTCAACCTGTAATATGGTACATTACAAGAAGGCTTTAGTTATAAAGGTGATATGTTATAACAATGTAAACATCTTGTTTAGGCTTGATAGATCTGTCTCGTGAAAACATAAATGTACCACATCTTTTAATGAACTTGTGAATTCAGAATTGATCATTAAAGTAGAAAATTAAGTTCTGCTGTGCTTTCTTTTCTGCAGTGGAGGAGAGAAGTTGCATTTGCTGGATTTGAGGTGCCTATTCAAATGGATATTTCTGCTGAGAAAATGATTTTTGGGGTTCCAGGAACTGATCCACAAAGACGAGATGAATTAATTAAGGTATGAATGGAAAATGCACGAAAGTTCTCTTTGTGGATATTTTTGAAGTCCCATGGGGCTTTTGATCTGCTTGATTTTTGATTGTTATCACTATGCCCTATTACACAAGGCAACACAAAAGGAATATATTGTCTATTACTTGCTCAGCAGGTGTTAACCGTATTTATCTCTAAAAAATCTGATTGTGCGAACATATCTAATCTTCAAACAACTAGATATTTTAAATTATATGTTGATGCAGGTTCTTGGTATTGATCTATCCTGGAGAATGCACAAAGCATCTGATGGGCAAAGAAGAAGAGTGCAGATCTGTATGGGTCTTCTGAAACCATTCAAGGTACACCTGCAAATACTTTCACGGAGTAAAAGCAGTTACGGTTTAACTGTCACAAATTGCTTGAAGACAATGTTGACATAAGATATCCCCCTGCTTGTGTAGGTTCTTCTTCTTGACGAGATTACAGTTGACCTAGATGTTCTAGCGAGGGCTGATCTTTTGAAATTTCTGAGCAAAGAATGTGAAGAGCGAGGCGCTACAATAATTTATGCAACACACATTTTTGATGGTCTTGAGAATTGGCCTTCTCATATGGTAAGAGCTGAATCCTACGTCTTGCTTTATTTGGATCTTTTGAAGAAAGTAGTGATACTTAAAATAATTATATTATTTGAAGCTATACGTGGCTCATGGGAAGTTGCAATTAGCAATGCCAATGGACAAGGTAAAGGAGATCAGCAATATGTCATTAATGGTAAGTTCTGATGTCACTAGAAAATATAAGATCCAAAGTAGAACCTCATTCAGTTTTTATTTGGAAAGTTCAAACATGCTCCCCATCCTACTGCTTAGCTGGGAGGTTCGTTGATGAACTGTTCGATTTCATCAAGCTCCTGGACATTTGGCTGAAACATGACAACTTGTTATCATATCTTTTTCTAAAATGGATTATACATGATATACTTCATATATTTTTTTTGGTAACAACTGTGAATATTACCATTTATAACAAAATCTTTACACCTAAAGAGCACTTAATACCACAACCACCTTCTAGGAAGGTGCTGTGGAAACTAAGCCTCTAGACAAATACTACTTACAATTATGTAGTGATCTTTTGCAGAAACTCTCTACATGTATGAGCCTTTCTTGATCTACCTGATGTATCTATTCTTTCTATAACATCCTGCTTTATCTGTCTTACTACATCCTCTATATTTACATTGACACCTTTAAACATTCTCCAGTTTCTAGCCCTCCATGTATGGTAGAACATTGATCCAAATATTGCTGCTACTATTTCTTTCTTGGTCTGCTTCCAGTTATTCCTCTTTATACTCTCCAAGGTCTTCCTAATGTCTCCATCCTGTATTTGAACACCAGTCCAAGCTGTAATTACTCCTCTGAGTGCTGTGATCCAGCTACATGCTACAGACAGGTGAGTGCTGTCTTCTTCTGTTCCTGCATCACATAAACAGCAACTTCCATCTTCAACTTGGATATGCAGTTTTCGAAGCCTATCCTTTGTTAATACTCTGCCTTGTGCTCCTAACCACATAAAAAACCTGTGCTTTGGTTGTGCAATGGCACTCCATATTAAGTCTGCTATGTTCAATCTGTGCATATCTCCCAGTAGAGCTGTATAACTTCTAGTTATTGAGTACTCTCCTCCGAGAATAGTGATCTCGCTCATACCACGCATGCATATCATCTTTTAAGGAGTTGAGTTTCTCCGGTACCAGCTGCTATCCAAAGGTGGCTTGTGGTTCCAAATGTTATTGATAGTCTTCATTTAGATTCCATGCACCCACTTCACCCATAAGGAGTTTTACTTATCAATCAGCTGCCATGACAATTTTCCAACAGATGCTACATTCCAAAGTCTACTTCCTTGCACATTCAGCCCTCCATATTTCTTGGGAAAGCATATCTTTTCCCCAAGACACAACAACAACAACAACAACAACAACAACCCAGTAAAATCTCACTAATGGGGTCTGGGGAAGGTAGTGTGTACGCAGACCTTACCCCTATCCCGAAGGAGTAGAGAGGCTATTTCCGAAAGACCCTCGGCTCAAAAAAAACAAAAAGACAAAAGGAAAAAAAGGAGACAATATTAGTATCACAACAGCAATCATAGGAAAAATAGGAACACCATGAAATCCAGAAGAACGATGCAAAGCAAAGGGAGACAATATTAGTATCACCACAACAATCATAAGAAAAATAGGAACACCATGAAATCCAGAAGAACGATGCAAAGCAAAGGGAGACAATATTAGTATCACCACAACAATCATAAGAAAAATAGGAACACCATGAAATCCAGAAGAACGATGCAAAGCAAAGGGAGACAATATTAGTATCACCACAACAATCATAAGAAAAATAGGAACACCATGAAATCCAGAAGAACGATGCAAAGCAAAGGGAGACAATATTAGTATCACCACAACAATCATAAGAAAAATAGGAACACCATGAAATCTAGAAGAAAGATGCAAAGCAAAAGCGATAGCTAGTAAATAGGACCTGCACTGAAAAGCGAAATAGTAAGACACAACATTGCCATTAGCTATCTTAGACAAAAACCCTACATGTCTAGTCCCACAATGGTACGAAGTAAGGCACAACTCAACTACCT